ATTGGCAGGCAACACTTTGACAGTAATGGGAAACCCCGTGAAACAATATAGTTTCAAGAGAGGTAGACGCTATGCGATAAATTTGTTGCTAGCGTGAGACACTTGAGTGTCATGCTGCGATGTGAATATTCTAGTCTGTATGATCATCTTCAACTATTCCGCATTTAATACAGTTCAGGATGTCCTCATTCATAAAACAAGTGGGATGGGTGTTGGTAGAACACTTCTCTCCTGAGAACTGGGCTACCTGGACGCAAGAGAATTCCGCACCAAGGTCAATCGCGTCTAATCGTTCTGTCGCAGATCGACATCGGGATTTTCATGAGGTTCTATCACAGGGCCTTTTAATGTGTTTGATTTTCGCCGGTGACTTGCCACGCCGTCTAAACTGACGGAATCCCATCTAAGCTGATGACAAGAGGATCTGGAGAGAAACTAAGCTATCAGAGAAATCACATAGGTTCTGGGCAGTAGCGAGAATTCTGGAACACTGGGCAATGGTAGATGGAATGTTTTTCAACCTAAAAACTTTAGAGTAGTAGAACTACGTACTCTTACGCAGCTGATTGTAAGTTATTCCCTATGCGGCAATATCTTAATGATAATAATGCCAAAGCATTATTTCAGACAACATGTGAACACCTTTTTTAAGTCCTTCACGTTCCCAATGGAATATAGGGCTTCAAGCTAGAGGCTTGAGGATTCTGTAGCAGTCTTTCCTTTTACAGGATGGGGTTGCTAGCCTCATGCCTAACCTTTGCCCTTCACCAGCTTTATTTTTAGCATGGTGGGGTAAAGGAGTGCGCCGGCCGGTGATTTAACCCCGGACCATATGCATGGCCGGCGAGCGTCCTAACCGCTATACCACCGACGCACTCATGTGAACACCTAGTACAGAAATTTTTGGTGTATATAGTTCCAAAATATTTCCTCTTCATACACCATTTACACTTAAAGTAATAATCTGAAGTATACCAGGGAAAGTGTTTTCTTCAAGCGTGTGCAAATAACCAAACCAATGGATTTTTTCTTCACCTTCCCCAAGAATTGCGCAACATTTTGTTGAAAGCTAGTTAAATATGTGCACGAGTCTATTTAGTGATCGTCTGAGATAACTGCACGACTAAAACGACGTAAAACTCACAGGGTATTGGACATTTTCGTGTGGATATTATTGTAGCCCTGTAGTTTAAGTAAGCCACCTCGTTCTTCAAACGTCAGAGTACGACCAAGGTCTCGTCTTGACAGAAAAGCAGGATGCACATGTCAGTTACTGTGGTAATGTGACGATGGAATACGCCGTCGTATAGTCCACGCGTAGACAATTAAGCTGGTTGACTTCTGATATTTTTCTAGGAGAGTGTAAATCATACTTATGGGCGCACCTTGAAGTGCAGGCTCTCTCATCACAACTAACGAATGATGGCGAATCACGGAGCAAAGAGTCAAGTGCACTCCCATTTCTGTCCTCACCGCGTTTACCATCCCTGAAACTCTTCAGCAGCAGCTGTGGCTACTGGACCGTCAGTGGAAAGCTTTATGTAGAAGTTGAGTAATCATGCGGCAACAAAAGGAGTGTGTCCAAATAGGGTATTAACTTGAAAGCCACATACCGCACTGTATTATTGGGCATAATTTACACTCATCCTTTATCTATGCTCAGTCTCTCTTGTCTCATCTTTCTGAGTGACTTGCCATTTCATTCACTTCATTATCTAATTATTTTTTTGTTTCTGTGTGTGTATAGTCTGCACTAATTATATTACTATTATTGTTTCCCTTTTTGACCATTTAGAGTCTCCTAACTTATTATGATGTGGTCACTGAAATCTGTTTGACGACTAAGGGTTCAGAGAAATGAGACTGGTAACCGAGGAGGACCTATATTGTCTGTTTTATTTGTAAGGGTTTCTTTACCTACGTAATAAAGAATACCCTTTCGTGTGTTTGACTGGGTTTCCCGCTTCGCTTTGGCACTGTCGTGCTATCAAAAATAAGTTTTAAAAAAATAGCTGTCATTAGTCTATTCGGGCCTCTAAAGCCACAGTGGACAATTAATGAGTGAAAAGACCAACTTCTCTCACGGTAGCGGCACAGTCTTAACACACTACATACTAAAAAGCACATACAACTAGTCTTCATGTTACTCTCCTTAGAGTCAACCAAAGCTACGACTGTCGGTTAGCAGGACATACTACTTCATACTTCAAATTGAAGTATGCGCTGAAGATGTCACTTTGGTTGGTAGTGGTAACTAGCTGTGGAATGAAGCAGGCGTATTTTGTTCTGTATATTACTCGACAGCAAGTGGATATACTTGCTTTCGCAGTGGTGGACTCAAGTCCCAATGTAAACACCATCAGTCACTGGGAATACAGGTACATAGAGCTATGACAAGTTCCTTAGTAGGAAGAGAGATGCACATCCTGGACTCCATTGTTTGTCTGTAACAACCCAAATAGCAATATTTCTAATTCGGGGAAGTTTCTGCACACAATCCATAAAATACTAAGATTATCAGTATTTATAAAAGGTTTATAAATCCAATGTTAGTGGACAATAGAAGCCAGAGGTTATTGTCAGTTAGTCACAAAAATAAATCAAAGTCTATGAGTGCTAACAGTATCTGAAAAATTGAAAATAACCTTAAGTAATCAAGAGGTATTATTATTGTCATCTATTTTATTCCTTTACATTCACAGTGGAACATAAGACTTCAAGCTGGAGCTTTGAAGATTCGATAGCAGTTGTTTCATTTTTACTGGGTGGAGTTGCTAACTTCACGTCGACTTAGCGAGGTTTAAGAGTGCCTGAACCAAAGCTTGAACCTCAGGAAAGTCTAAATTGAATTAAATAGTGACAGTGACCTCTGTTATCAATTAACATTATTATTATTCCTTTGGGTTCCGAATGGAACATGAAGATTCAACAACATATCTCCACTTTGTTCTGTTTTATGTCTTCCTCTTCCCCTGGGTCCACGATCGCTCACAGGTTTTCATCTCTTCCTCACACGATCTCCTCCATGTATCCCTTGGACGACTTTCTTTTCGCTTCCTATTTGGATTGCACTAGAGGGCCTAGCGTGCGATGTTATTTGACAACCCTCTTCAACGTACTCTCAATCTATTCTCATTTTCTTCGACCTATTCGTTCAGCAATCGGCTATTGGTTGGTTGGTAGGTTGCCATAGTTCCTTGTCACTAATTTTTTTCTCACTGGTTATTTGATATTCAGTGTGGAGCCAGTCGGTGAAGGAGGTAGCTGTTGAGAAAAGTCTTCAGTGGCTTGTTGGAAGACTTTGCTATAGGAGACTTCGCCTTCTCGGTGGTTATTTCTGCTTACTTGCTCAACTCACACCATGTTGTATACTTCGGATTTGTTATAGGAGTCTACTACTCTCAACAGAAGACGTTTCTACAACCGGAACAACTGGAAATCCTTTTCGCGACACACAGTACAAGTTTCTGACCCGTATAGAAGAAGTAACTGACTAACTTGACCTTTGTGTTGAAAATGCAAATCTTCTTTATGCCGATTGAGTGACAGTAGAAGATTTCCATACTGGTTTCAAGTAAATGAAGGTTTATCATGCCTTTCCAATTCTGGCTGGCTGGCTGGCTTTGATATCTTCACCCGTTCCTACTGCAGTTAAAACAATGCTTCCTAGATAAGTGAAGGAAGGAACTAACCTGTCTCGAATCTCTACCGCTGATGGTGACTGGTGCTTGTTGTTGTTGTTGTTGATTTGTTGGTTATCTTGATCACCTCCGTCTTCTCTTTATTCCCCCCTGAAGTCCTAATCTTCGCTGCCTTCTTCTTCAGCCAGTTTTTTGCTTTTCACCTTTTTGTGTCTTCAAGTTTGTGTGACACTAGACATATGTTATGTACTCGTCGCCAAATTATTGTTATGTACTGGTCGAGAATTTAATAGTCCTGACGCAAGAAAGACGGAAATCAGAAGACCACTAGGTTTGCGATGATACTTCTATTGTCCAAACACAAGGAGAATCAAATGTATCACACAATAGTGTGAGAGCAAAATATATATGCATGTCCGAACAAGTGTGTAAACAATCAATAGACAGTCTTAACATGATTGGCTAATTATAATCGAGTATCGATCCATATATACATAGCAAAATATAGCAGACATGTCAACAAACACACATATTATGTGGATATATATATCACCAAGGGCAGACTGTCAACAAACACACATATTATATATAATATAAGGGGAATATACATTTTTAAAGGAGACAGGTTCGTCAAAGTGAAATGGTCACAGACTAAGAGAGCAACAGAAAAAGAGACCACCATATATATATATATATATATATATATATATATATATATATGGATACATATCAACATATATCATCCATAAGCGAAATCCAGATCTTTCTAGAGTCTTCTAATCGATTCAACGTACCACCATGCCCACCTTAATAACAAGCTATTTTTTATTTATTTTGAAAAGTTTTTTTATTTTTGATTACAGCTTGATTCCACATTGTATTTTTGGTACAAGTATAGAATTTCAGCATGGATATCGGTAGCCCAAATTTTGCCGGCCAACCATGTCAGGTGTGGGTCGGCAGGGGATCGAACCTCGGACCATGTGCATGGTCAGCGAGAGTCCTAACCACTGTGCTAGAAACCCACCCACCACCACGACCACCTAGAGCTGTGAAATAAAGTGTGTTACAATGGCAGAGGTCTCTTCGCCGACTTATATATTCTCAACTTACAGAAATAGATGTCATCATGTGATGACATCAGTTAGAGAACCACTGGGAAACCAGCTGGGAGTACTGGATAGCAGTTTCGTCAGCCTAGTTTGGGACTCTTCATCAGTACATCCTCACCTCCAGCATTCCAACCCAAGACCTTCTGGTTCATGATCAAATCATCCATGCAATCAAACAAAATCCCTACAAAACCAATACTTGAGAAATAGACGTAGCATTTGTAAATATGTATATAAAACAAATTTCACAATAAATTTCTTTGTTGTTTTTTTCCTCTCTTCCAATATGTATATTTTTTAAATTTAAAATAAACAAACACAAATTTCAAAAGTAGGTTATTTATGATTAGCAGTAATCAAATCAAATAAAATAGAATTGAAATATAACTAACTACACACAAAAAAAACTACAAGTATATTGCATGTTTATTTAGTAAATCTGTTTGTAAATCTGTTAAATTTCTCTTCAAATGAAGGATTCCATTTTTATCAAAAGAAAATATCGTTGTTATATACATTCAATTCAAAGATCATTGAGCATTTGAGCACCAGTAACACTACTAAATGTGAAAAAAAGACACACACACAAAAACAGACAAACAAACTACAGAGCAGAGACTAGAAAGTGATGATGGTATGAAGAGCCGAGACAGTGAATACCCTCCTCAATAACTCAATCTTTTTCTAATATCCTTTATTGACATGAAAAAAATAATAATAAATTTACACAAATTATCTATCAAGTTGTAAATTTGATCTGAGCAGAAAATAAAGCTGATAATACACCACACACACACACACACAGTCGTTGATAGCGTGTGGAAAATAGGGTTCAAAATCAAAATCTGACACACACACACACAAACGCACGCATACTCATACAGAGAGAGAGAGAGAGAGGTTACTGATCCGGTTCAATTTGTTTAACTGATTGTGTTTTTAACTTTGTGTTTTTGTTTGTACCAATTAATCTCAAAATGGATAATTTATTGAAATTTAAACATAATGCGAAATAGATGAAGAACTGAAAAATGAACGGAAAACCAAAAGAACAAAAAAGAAAATAAATCGAACAGATAGATTTAACAATCCATTTTTTGGGTGTATAAAAAACTGAAATGGTTATAATATTTTAGTAAACAGGATATATATACTTAAAGTATATTAGATAGATTCAAGAAGAGTAAGTCATGTGCAAACCAAACTGTAATTCTACGCATCATCATCATCACCACCATCGAACAGAGTATAGAATTTTTATTGAATTTGAGATTTTCCCGTCGATTGATTGAACCGAAGTGCTCGGTCTCAGGTGGACATGTCGACGGAAAAATCTCAAATTCAATAAAAATTAATCTAACCCGTTGCACCAGAGGTGGCTGGCTGTCGTGGCCCAAGTGGTCTAGTGGATAACGCTTTGGTTGGCGTTTGAAACTATGGGTACTGGGTTTGAACCTCGGTTGGAACATCATCAATCACTGAGAAATGCAGGTACATCCACTGGCTGACGAGTCCCAAATAGGACGAAATGCGCGTTATCCTGGATTCCATTGCTAGTCACCGTCGACCAATTAAAGAGTATAGAATAGTGGAAGTTAAACCTCTACCTCAACTTAATCAAGCTTGAAGAAAAGGATCCTGAACTCAATCATAGGAGAAAGCCGTCAATTAAAGAAATTATTTTAGGGATTCCGTTATGCCTCAAATCTACTAACTTTTAATTCCAAGGCAAAAAATATATAGAAAAACAGAAGGTTTAGCAATGGGATGGATCACCAATATCCCCGATTGTAGCAGATATCTTAATGGACAGCTGGGGAAATAGTCCTCATAATACATTTAATCCTACTCCAAACGTAATATGGTGGAAATATGTGGATGACATTTTCACACACAGTGTTGAAAACAGAACATATCTCTATAGCTTCTTGACACACACACACACATAAACTCACTAGTGGAGAGACTAAAATTCACATTTGAATCGGAAAATGAACAAGGAGAATTAGCTATGTTAGATTGCAAAATAAAACGAATAGAAAAAGGCAAACCACACACTAGCGTTTATAGAAAATCAACGCATTCTAATAGATATTTAGACTTTAATTTATCTCAACCGATAACTGTTAAGGCAAGCTTAGTTAACTGTCTAAAAAATCGAGCCATAGCACTAAGTAGCACAAGAAAAGACCTAAATGACGAAATAAAACAGAAAGAAGACGCGTTGATGTTGAAAAACTATCCTATAAAATTCATTAGGAAGATCAGTAAAGGCCAAAAGCAAAATAAAAATAATTGTGGAACTAGTAATGATAACATAAATAAGAGAGAATATAAGTCATCCACTGTCATGCCATATAAGGAGGGGATATCTGAGACCCTACGTAGGATTCTAAATAGAGCAGGAATTAGGGTGGCATTTAAACCTACAAACTCACTCAGAGACAAGCTCTGTAGGCTAAAAGACCCGGTGAACCCAATTAGAAATCAAGAGATATTTATTTATTTATTTTTATGTACATTATTATTCGTTATTATTAGCAGAGCGACAGCGTCTTCTGACTGGTTTTTTTCTCTGTCATCTCTTTGTGTCCGTTTCTTTCAAGGTCAGACCATATATATGTGTATATAACTGTGAATCGTATCCGCCCACGCAAAGTCTGCTGTTATTCGATGTTGTTGAATTAGTCTTTGCTCTTGACTTTTTTTTCTCATGACCAAGATATGAGACGTAAACATTGACGTAAATTGCTGTCTATCAGTTTTGGCTGGCAGACAGCTCTCTCTCACCACAAAAGTACTCTTAACAATCCTAAAAGCAGATAACATATCTGGAGGCAGCAGTGGCTGACCCGGGCTCAAATCTCAAAAAGGGTCATTATTTCCCTCAAGATTGCAGATGTGCCTTGCTGACATAAGTGACATCAGACACGAAACCTAGGTCTTCCTAGGCTTCCAACCGATCGCCTCCAACCATTTAATAACAACAATTCAGATGAATCTTATTACAAAATGAAATTAGGATAAACTTATCAGATATAATGAAAGAATATAGTATAAAGGACGATAATTTCACTGGCTAGTACAGCTTTGTGAACCCGTTTTGTGAATATGAAGATCACTCACTCTCACTCTCACTCTTTAGGAAATCCTTGGAATCAGGTGGATTACATCAGATAATTATTAGCTAGCTATAAAAATTGCAGTTGCTTGTATAAACCTCTATCTCAACTTCATCGACAGCGTCGATCGAACGGTGATTTGGCAACTACATCGCTACTAAGGAGTGCCATAGACAATTATACAGCTCATCCAACAGTTATACTACAATGCTGTATGCCAAGTATTCCACAACGGGAAACCTACGGAATCCTTCGAAGTGAGGACGGGAGCGAGGCAAGGCTGTCTACTATCGCCAATGATTTTCCATATTGCAGTAGATTGGATAATGCGAAAGACAACGTGCAATGGAGAAATAGACATAAAATGGACCCTGAAGAAAAACTTGGAGGATCTGAACTTCGCCGATGATATTTGTCTGATTTCCCATAAACTGGAAGATATGCAAGTGAAAAGCAACAAGTTGGCAGAAGAAGCATCAACGATAGGAGGGACTTCAGGTGAAAATAGAGAAAACAGAGGTGGTGAGGATTCCTGGCCAACACCAGCAACAGCAACAACAACAACAGACAACAATCAGCATAAATGGGAGGAACCTGAAAGAAACAACCTCCTTTACCTACCGACCTGGGAAGCATCGTTTCAACTACAGGTGGACGGAGCTGACGAGGATATCAAAGCAGCGACGATCGGGAAAGCAAGACAAGCTTTCATTACTCTCAAGTCTGTGTGGAGGTCAACAGCACTCAGCATCAAAAATAACATCGGGATTTTCAACTTCAATGTGAAGTCAGTGCTTCTATACGGATCACAGACTTGGTGAGTCATAAGGAGCATCTCAAACAAACTCCAGACCTTCATCAACAGTTGTCTTCGCTCAATACTACTCAAAATGAGATGGCCAGCCAGAAAAGACTAGCAACAGGGATCTGTGGCACTGAGCGAACCAACACAGCAGGAACGGATTGTGCAACAAATAGGCAGAAGGAAATGGAGATGGATCGGCCATTCTCTGAGGAAACCATCAAGTGACATCACTAGACAAGCCCTCGAGTGGAATCCGAAAGGGAAGTGGCGAGTTGGTCGTCCAAGGGTGACTTGGAGGAGATGAAGTGAAGAGGACATGAAAGCACATGTGCAGACTTGGAGCCAGGTGAAAACTCTAGCAAAGGAACCGAACGCAATGGAGACGCGTGGCTGAAGCCCTATGTTCCTCTAGGAATTAAAGGAAATAATAATATAATAATTTTATAAACCTGTTTCAGCCGTTTCAATGTAGTCATTTAGAGGATTATTCAGCTGTGTGATATAGCAAGCAGCAAGTTAAATTTTCCCATCCATTTGATATAAATACACGAATGTACAGCCTAGATGATGACTTCGTCGAAAAGAAAATTTTCTTCGCTGCAATTGTCTTCTTATTAAGTTAAATTTTCTTTTTTTTTCTGGTACGATAATGTTTTTGTCTGAACTGATTTACATTTTAAAGTCATATTTATAGGATTCATAGTTAATCGTGTGGTTGAGCGTTGAAACATACTCATAGAGGTAGGGCGTTTCCACTTTGCGAGTAGTGTCTACGCATCAAATTCATCTACACTTAAAGAAAATATTGATTCTATGAACAGTCATCTTTATGCTTAAATCAACTTACATTAATAATAAAAATTGAAAACACTAATAAGTAATTTAAAATGATTAGAGTCGCTTTTAGTAAATTTGGTTAGCTTTACTGGGAGATGGAGTTTATCTAAAAAGTGTGTATTTGAGCAAAATACAGACATCGGTGGTCCACAGGTAGAAGGTTGAAGTTCGATTCCCAGCTGGCGCATTCCTTAAAACTCTCCAAGAGGCTAATAGACCAGGAAAAATGTCAAGGTAGGGTGTCAGGCTAGAAGTGCTTCTGAAACTTCAAGGTTTACACTTGAAGGGTTATGTAATTTGGTCAGCGGTGATTGACACTGGAATCCAGGGTTCACGTTTAGTCATATTATGGACTCATCATCTGGAGATGCCTGCACTGCCAAGTAAGTGGTGGTGTTTTCACTGAGGCTCAAACTAAGGGCTCATCACTTCGAGTACTCCAGTGTTATCCACTAGACCACTTGGGCCATGAGAGTCACCTCTTGTGCATCGGGTATCACTTATTATATAATTCATTTTCGACTTTCCCATCGATTGATTGATCTGAAGTGTTCGGCCTCTTATGTCATGTCAGATCCTTGTGAGGATACTTTGACAATGTTTTAGGATTTAACATGAAATAATTTGGCCCAAGTGGTCTAGTAGATAACGCTTTGGTATTTGAAACGACGGATACTGGGTTCAAATCGCAGTGGAGACACAGTCACTCACTGGAGAATGCAGGCACATCCCTATTGCTAGTCCAAAATAGGACGAAATGCGCACCTGAATTCCAATGCTAGTCACCCTCCACCAAATTATATACCCAAATGGTTTAGAAAAGACAAGTGAACCGTGAAACCTTGATAGACGCAGGTGACAGGCTATCAACTTTGCCTATAGCAAAACACTTAAAACTTGGGCACTGTGGTAGCATATCATTCCATAATAGTTTGTTTATTGAATATATCACACAGTGAAACAGTATCATTTACTGGATGACGTTTCAGATACAATTTATTGTTCATAATCACATCAACTATAATTACACAACTTAGAAACTTCAGTTTTATAGCTTTCTTTCTCCTCTCCTATTTGTCGTCGGGGTAGTAGAATTTTCCAGATATCTGGGACAGATGTTGAACCATTCCTGTTACACGTATTACCTATCAGTTGATTCGATAAACAAAGCTTCTGTTTCAATCTCTCCCTCCACCCTGTGACATTAGATTTTAAAACTGTAATCTTATCCCATTCTATAGTGTGGTTGTGTGTAATTGCATGTAGTGCTACAGCTGAGTCATTTTCTAGATGTCTTATCTGATTGTAGTCATCTCATCTAGATTTTGGTAGGTTTTAGCGCTCCACTAATCTGATTGACCTCATTCTAATACTTTTACCTGACAGTCATTGCAGGGCATTAGATAAACTAAATTATTTTGTTTAGCGGGCTCCACAGGATCCTCTAACCGACGTAGTCTGTTTCTAAGTGAGTTTGTGGGTTTGAACGACACTTTTAATTCTGTGTTGTTAAGAATTCCATGTAGGCTTTCGGAGGTTCCATCTTTGTATGGAAGTACCATTGCTGATTTAAGCTACTTATTATTGATACGAATCTCAAGGTCGAAGAATTAGCAAAGACAGGACTCCAAGTGAGCATGGACAAGACGGAAGGTTATGGAAATTACCAACCAACAACAACAGCAGCAACATCCAGTGCCAATCACCATCAACCGGAGGGATTTGAAAGAGGTTACTTCATTCACTTATCTAGGGAGCATTGTCTCAACTACAGGAAGTAGGAACGGACGAGGATGTCAAATTGAGCAAGAATCGGGAAGGCGAGAAACACATTCATCAACCCGAAACCAGTCTGGAAATCTTCATCACTCAGCATCAACAACAAGATTCGGTAGGATTTTCAACACAAACATCAAGTCAGTTAGTTCTCCTATACGGATCAGAAACTTGGCCAACTGGTCACAAAGAATATTTCCAACAGCCTGTTGCAGACCTTCATCAACCAACAACTGTCTTCGCTGGATCTATACTGAAAATCAGATGGTCGGGCCGGAAAGAATCACCAACAATGGGAAACTATGGGAACAAACAAGCTAAACGAGAACCAATTGCCAACCAACAAATATGCAGGAGAAAGTGGAGATGGATTGGACACTGACTCGTTGAGGAGGCCGCTGGGTGACATCGCACGCGCGTTAGGTTATTGCTCGAGTGGAACCAGGCCGAAAGGGAAGCGGCGAGTGGGACGTCAGAGCAAGGGTGACATGGAGGAGATCGTGTGAAGAGGAGTTGAAAGAGTATGGACTAAGATGGATGCAGGTGAAAAGTACAGCAGAAGACAGAGACAAGTGGAGACGTGCAGTTGAAGCCCTATGTTCGACTAGGAACCCAAGGGAATAATAATAGCAATCTCAAGGTTGATATCGAAACAATTTCCAAAATCATCTATAAAAACTGTTAATGAAATACGCTGATTATATCAACAAAAGTTGTGTTCATTTCTATCCTTCTTATTATTAAATCTATTATCCCGTTTGTTTATTTGAATTGACTTGTCATTTTATTTAATTAAATTGATTTGTTTTAAGCTCCATGACGTATTGATGTCATATAGGTCAACCACTGAATACCAGGAAGTACCGTATAGATGTTTCGTCCCAGTCTAGAACTCTCCAGCACTACGCAAGCATGATACCACCGTCAGGTATCGAACTGATATCAATCCGTGGTCAAAATCTTGAAACAAATCAAATTCCTACCCACCAATACTTAAAAATTAATCTGATGTTCACTGGTAACTGACTACAGGATGAAGTTCACGAGAGTTCTAGTGAGACATCGTGATCAGTAGAGCCCATCATGGGGCGGGAGTTTAGGACAAACACTCACCAATGACAATGGCGAATTGACAGACGTTAAAATTCATGGGTCTTTGGATTATATCCCAGTGGCTAGTTTCATGACTTGGAATTCCTGAGTTTGATCCCTTGGTGGGATCATTCATAAGGGCGTAATTCTGAGGAGTTCTAAACTAGGGAGAAACAGGTGTCTAGTACAATCCTTGGTAGTCAATGGTTGTCTAAATGTTATCAATCCGTGACAAAACTTGAAACCAATCAAATCCCTACAAAATCAATACTTGAAAATCAATGAGATGGTCACTAGCGATTGGCTTAGGGTTTTAGTGGGACGTCGTGACCAGTAGGGTAGAGCAGGTAAGATGTGAGGACAAGTACTAGCTGTCTATGACACTGGCTAACTTTCGCGCTATGTCGTGAATTCGCCGAAGTTGGAATTCATGCACTGGCTATTAGGTTAGGTCCCAGTGGTCTAAGAGCTTGCCATGTAGTCAGAAGGTCGTGGGTTTGAACCCTGGTGGGTGTGTACTGATGAGGAGTCCCGAACTTGGACGAAACAGTTGCGTGCAAAATAACGAAGCATCTTACGTAATCGAAAAAATCACAACACACAGCTTACTTTTTTTCCGCAACATAATCATCATTAAGGGGATGTTATTAAAGGCATCATAGCTCCATTATAATTTCGTTGTCTTGATCAGTGCATCCTCCAAGTAGGTATCTTCAATGACCACAGGATCACAATATGTTACAGTAAGCAGTTCTTTACTTCTCGATAATTTTAATCTGTCTTCTTTTACAATATATTCATTTTTCAATGCATTATTCATATTACTGGAAGATGTATTTTTACACAAATCATTGCTAGAAAGTGAACTCTGGCAATAGATAACAGCATCATGAATACTAATAAATGACATATGGTCAATTTGTGATGATGTTAAACTGCCACCACTGGCTAGAACTGACTTTATTTGTGGATCACATGCAGTGAAGAGAATACGAATGCCTAATTCACCGTAACATTTCACTATCTAAAAATGGAGAAAGAGAAGGTAAAAGTTAAACATTAAGCACTGGTAACTACCAATCAGAGAATCACCGTGAACGCACCAATCAAATGAAGAAGGCACTTTTGGGTATGGAACACATATATTAATGAAAATTTTTCTATAAAAACTGTATAAAAGAGATAAAACACATCCAAGTTTAGCATAAGATTATCAGTGGAAAAGTTACACCTCATCCTAGGCATATATTCATCTAAACGACTATAAATGGCATCTTTCTGAGCTCCACTAATGTCTCTAATCCTGTTTTTTAACCTTTCCCCAAAACCTTCGATAGAATTGGTGTAGATCCCTGTACTTCGGTCTACAAAGTCATTAGAATGATTGAATCTGAGGTGAATATATCCAAGGGATGTCAAGGATTTATAACCTTTCCGCTTATCTGTGTCTATTATAGATCCTTGTTTCACCAGTCGAGCGATAAAAGGTAATAAAGTACTTAGCTTTCTATCTGCTATCCTCTCGACGAATACTTTCTGTAGAGAGGTATCATATGAACCAATCACCAGAACATTATTCGCCGCTCCCAACCATGGTTGTATTTGATCCTTGATAAAACAGTTTCGTCTACGTGTAAGATAACACCTCTTCCTCCCAGTACGGAAGTGTAAGCCTCTCCATATCCCAGGATTCGATATCATTGGAGTACTAGTACCACTGAACTGCTGATACGAGACTATTTTCAGTTTCAAGACGCTGTTTTAAAACACAATAATTACAAATGTACAAAATCTGGGTTAAGGATAGATGGGACCTGGCAAAAAATGTTCCTGCAAAATATTAGAATCATCAGTTTACCCTCTCTGACACTAACTCGTCTGAAACAGATTCCACAATGATGCACATATCCGTCAAACAGATCTCCTGAAACCTTTTATGCTCATCACACCTCTACAATGAACAAATCCTCCCTTTCCTAATCAAGCCTACATCTATACAATACTGGAAGACTTGCTCCTCACCAAATTGGAAACGTAACTGCGTTAGAAAAGGCATTTGATTCGAATCAAGTGGGACAGAAGCTTCAACTTACGTGAATAAATCTCATTGGAATACTCAAGGTCACTCCGTCGGTAGTTAGTGGTGCTTAAAGTCTAACTTGGCCAAGAGAAGAAAGCGAGCACGGGAAGGTAAGGATTATAAAAGCAAATAGGTCTTTTGATTGCTTACTTTTACCGAAGTTAGGAGGGGAGATGTTGTCTCTGTTGAAGGACAACTGAAAGCTTCCGAATTAAATCATACAGTTGGCTGGGAGAACACCACCATCACCACAACAAAAATATTATAAGGAAAAACATATTTCTTTTCAACGACTTCAAGTTATTTAATAATCTTTCAAAATTTTATAATTCATCCACTTCAATTCTACCCGCTTAAAATTATGTTAACTATCTTTGTTCTTATCATACGCATATTGACTGGCCAATTTTCAGTATCACTTATTGCCTTCTTGCGTAATATAAATACGACAGTAGAGCTTGGAACTAAAGTCCTTGCAAAGAAATCTTTTAGAAATTATTTGATTTCGTCACGAACCAACATCAGTTAGATAGATAAATAGGTGGAAACCACACAGAGAATTGGACATCTGTTTCGCTCTACTTTAGGACTGACTCTCCATCAGTTCGTACTCACGACCTTGCTAGTGATGGGATCTGGCTCAAGTGTCGGAATGGTCAACACGCTTCTTCTTCTCGTAACCAGAATATACCGATTTCGATCCATAGTGGAATCACAGGTGCGTATCATAGAAGAGTGTCGAACTAGGATGGAACAGCCGCACATTCCTCCCTAGTTTTCAGTGACCATCAACTGATGCTGGTCCAGGATGAAATCTGACAACTGAAATTAGTCCGAAATCCCATAATAATAATAATAATAATTTGCTTTATTCCAAAACAGTAATTGTGATACAGAATGGAATTCTCACCATTTCACTACAGTACTGCATCCAGTTAGTACATTATCAATAAATAAAATTCTACATAGATTAAGGGTAATCTCAGCTAGTTTTGGCAACAACATATTGGCATGTCGGTAGCAAAGTCAAATGTGAACAGAATGTTTGAAGGTGTTAGAAAAGTAGATGCTAGCATATTTACTGGAGTAAGCGGTAACAAAAAGGTCGAGATGAACAGAGTGTGAAAGAACGAAGAAGAATGTTTTAAGTAGAGTTTGTAAGGAAGAGAGAAACAAAACAGCACATAACAGTAAAAGAGAAAAGGAAAAGAAAGAAAGAAAACGTTGTACCTATGAGTTGGAAAGACGAGTTCCAGTTGTTCTACTGACTATTTAATAAGTTAAAGGTTTCACCCCTAATGCTTTATTTATCGCACAGAACACGAGCTGGTTGAGTTTTTGTACTTGCTAGTGCGAGCATATAGTTTTCTATATAGGCTTCTGGTTTGACCTGATGACATACAAGGGGAGAGTTGTGAATGAAGGGGATGGTGTGAGTTAGATGAAATAGATTTAGCCCATTTTTCACATGAGTCCATGTGCCTGTCAACCAGAATATTAACAAGCTGGTTAAGTGCCACTCTGTGGCTTACCCTGCTGACAACCTTTAACATCCTGCGTAATAAGGTATAGTCTTTCTTCAGTAGCCCTGGAAAATCTACGGGGAGAACAATAGAGAATAACAGGCAGGATGCAAGAGTTAACGAATCGTAGGGTTGGGTAATTCAAGAATGTCTAAAACACTTTTCCCTACAAACAGCTAATCATTCTAATTTCATACATTTAAACTCAGTGACTACCATATGACCATATTTTCGCAAAATTGATTGATATAAAGAGATTAGTTCGTGCAAAATGTTAAGCTCAGAATGTGAGTTCTTATGCGGACTAATCCGCTCATAGGGTTCAAATAGTGTCAAATATTTACACCTTAACAGACTAAAATTGGCGAAGTTAAACTTTCGACACCACTAACTACCAATCAGCGAATTATCCAATGAGATTCACGAACGATGTCGAATTATCCAATGAGGTTCACGAACGCAGTTCAATGTTGTATAGCGCTTGATTCATTTCTAATGCGTGACCTTACAAGGCTGTTGTTGCAATTCGAGGAGGTTAGTGTTTCCCAGTATTTCCTAGATTTCAGTTGCTCCGGAAAGAACGAATTTGATTGGATTCTTGATTTCTTTAGTAAGAAAAAGTCTTCGTTAAATAGCGAAGCGGTGGCATTTAGTGATGTTATGTTTGAAATACACCAACCGTGCAACAGTGGATTGATTGTGTTTACACTTCATGTTGAGCATATCATATTTGAGCGGCTCGGTTACACTTTGATATTCTCTATGCCTCCAAATCTTGTTATGACTAATATTCTGCGATTCGAAAAAATGGTATTGTGCGACAGACTAGTTTCTCATACTTTCTTATTTCTACACTATTCGTCATTCAGTTTAGATGAAAACGATGCTTACATCAAAACAATATGGTCTAGGTTCGATAACGAGCTGACATCAGTTAGAGAACCAACGAGAAACCGAGGAGTACTGGACAGCTGTATTGTTCTAGTTCGCTACTCTCCAGCAGTATGCATCCATCTGAGTTCAAACTGAGGACCTTATCGTCACAAGTTAAGCTAGTATGTACTCAAATTATCTCGCTCAGTTAACATTCACAAGTTTAAAAATTATGAACAGATGGAAATGGTTCTTTAGAGCATTGAGTACATACATTTAAAATCTCACATGTGTAGATAAAATTGAAGCAAATTATACACAGGATAATCTAACGTGTAGTGCATAAATCACGTTCACAAATAAATATCGCTTATCATAAATCAGTAACAATGTTAACAAGAGTTTAGTCTGAAACTGAATGTTTAAATATACAAAAAAATATAATAACCACAATGACTATTGGATGAAAATATCGATCCACGGGCTTCTTCTTTAATCTTCTTGTCCATTAACTGGCAATAGAAAAAGGGTTTTCGGAGTATATATGAGTGTATTAGGCGATAATTTGGATTGTGGTAACAATCCATCTATTGTACAATGAGTGACACCCTGGTAGATTAGTGGGTGTTTAAAACAATGGGTACAGGGTTCGAGTCCCAGTGGGAATACCATTACTCATTGAGTAGATGACGATTCCAAAAAAGTACGAAACGCTGGATGGGCTGTACATTACTACTGGTCACCATCACCGCTAACCAAAATAACTTAAAGTTAATCCTTAGAGAACGTCATTGCGACGGTACTAAGAGCGAGTGTGTCAACAACACAGACCAAGAATTTCAGTTGAACATAACCAATCAAGAGGAAGTGCAAGATTAACTTTAAAAAAAAAACAAGTATTAGGCAACGGTTAAGAGAGGGCCAAGTATTTCATGTGACTATTGTACTATCTTATTATTATTACTATCCCTTTGCGTTCCGAGTGGAACATACCGCTTCAACAACACATCTCCACTTTATTCCATTTTCTGCTGTCCTCTTCATCTTACCCTAGAATTGACCATAATTTTTCATCTCCTCTTCGCCACACAATGTCCTTCATGTTAACCTCGCGCACCAACGACTCACTCATTGCTTCCCATTGGGATTCCATTCCAGCAGTGGCCTGAATTGTGCGCGATGTCATTCGACGGCCGTCTCAACGTATGCTCGATCTACCTCTATTTTATTCATACATATTTGTTAAGGAATCGGATCTTGGTTGGCTTGTTGCCAGAGAGTTTCGTGTTGCTAATTCTTTCTAGCCTGCCACTTGATCTTCAGTATAGAGCTAAGGTAGTTAGTTGTTCATAAAAATCTGCAACCTGTTGACAATCCTTTTGGTTACACACGCAATGGAATGTTTTGACTTGTATAGAAGGACCGACTTGACATTGATATTGAAGAGAATCCGAATCTTGTTCTTTATGCTGGTTGAGTGCAGAACATTTCAAAACTAGTTTCAGGTTGATGAAGACGTATTATGCCTTTCCGATTATGACTGGCTGGCTTTGACATTTTCATCCGTTCCGAATGCCTACAGTTGAAACGATGCTTCCTACATAAGTGAAGAAGGTAAACCCTGTTGAATCACTCACATTGATGGGGATTGGTGATTGTTGTTGCTGCTGCTGTTGGTTTGTTAATTATCTTCATCACCTTTGTCTTCTATCTGTTCACCTACAGTCATATCTTCACTGCCCGCTTCTTCTGACAGTCTCTTACTTTCCCCCTGTTAGTCTTCGAGTTTGTGTGTCATTAGACATATATCATCCATTCGCGAAATCCAGATCTTCTAGAGTCTTCTTATAGGTGGTCCAGGGCGCATTCCTGTCTTCTCACTCCCAACTCACAGTCTGACGTATAATCCAGTCCACCACAATTAAGAATATCCATCGGTGGTAGTAGTGGAAATCCTTGTCTTACTCCTGTATTCTCTTGGAACGCCTCACTGAGTTTCCCGTTGTGGATCACTTGACACGTCGCATTATCATATAGCCAGCCAGCTGTTGAATGAGGTTGATAAAGACTTGAGCATTTCACGCCATAGTGTTGAAGTAGTTTCCAAATTACTTCTTGGTCGATGCTGTCTGTTGAAGGCCTTTCCAAAGTCGATGAAGTTGAGGCGGAGTGAAGTGTGACAGCCTTTCTATGCCTTGTTCTGTGATGATGATGATGCGTGGAGTTGCAATTTGATGAGCATATGACATGACTTTCCTGAATCCAGCTTGTATATATATACGCAATCTTTCGCTGTATTGTACAACTGATGGGAAGTCTGTTATACATGTCAGTTGTTTCTTCTTATGATTTTGTTTTTACTTTTACGTTAAAAAAGTAAAAAAAAACTGACAAAAAAGAACTGAAGATCAATTCTGACTGACATTTTTTGTCCAACCATTACAAGCGTGTGGTAGTACAAGTTAACAAGATATAATAGTTTTAATCTTTTTATATTCACAATATAAAAGTATAATCTTTCTGTTCGATAATCTTTCACAAATTAAATTGACTGGATATGGTTTTATGATGTATGCTACAACAAATGTACTACTTGGTTATGCAAAATTAGTTAATCACTGGCCAACAACAGCTTTTAACTTGAATAATTATAATAATAATAATTATAGAAAAGATTTGTAACTCAGGTGGATGATTTGCAATTAATAGTGTTCTCTGAGCTGGTTGGTTTAGTTGTGGAGCTTTCGTCGTCTTTCTGGACGGCATCTTCAGCGCAGTATTTAGCATAAAGTTAAATGATTTAAAAATCTCCATGAATGATGATACAATTGCGTCTCCTAGTGACCAACCATCTTCACATATGTATTTTAAATCATTTAACTTTATGCTAAATACTGCGCTGAAGATGCCGTCCAGAAAGATGACGAAAGCTCCACAACTAAACCAACCAGCTCAGAGAACACTATTAATTGCAAATAATAATAATAATTATTATTATTCCACAGGAAGATGTCAGAACACAGTCAGACAGAATCATAAGGGTAAGATACGCCTTCATCAACCTGAAACCAGTTTGAAAATCTTCTACTTCCCTCAGTCAACATAAAGAACAAGATCCGGATTTTCGACACAAATGTGAAGTCAGTCAGTAACATCTTCTGTATGGGTCAGAAACTTGCACTGCGTGTCATCGAAAATATTTTCAACAAGTGTTACACACTTTTGTCAACAGATCAAATGACCAGTCAAAAAGAATTGGCGATAAGAAACTCTAGCAGTAAACCAATCAAAAGCCGATTGCTCAACAAATACGCAGAAGAAAATGGGGGAGATGGATTTGATATACGTTGAGGAGTTCTCCGAATGACATCGTGCGTCGGGCCATTGGCCGAGTGGAATCAGAATCGGAGGAGGAGATGAAAAATTATGGGGAGTCGTGGGGGTAACCAGTTGAAGAGGACGGCAGAAAATAGAAGAAAGTGGAGATTTGTTGTTGGAGCCCTATGTTCCACTCAGGATCCAAGGGAACAATACTAAAACATAAAAATAATTCCTTACGGTCCTTGGTGGAACACAGAGTTTCAGCAGTGCGACTACAGTATGCACTACGTTCTCTACAGTCTGTTTTTTTGGTCGGTTCTACGATTACCCATAAGCTTTCAATTCCTCCTGACACGATCTCTTGCATTTCATGTTTGAACTTCCGCCAGACTGACTGTTCCCATTCAGGTCGTCTCGAGGGCCTGAGTAGTATGCGGCGTCACTCGACGGTCTCCTCGGGTAGTATATCCAATCCATTTTCATTTCCTCTTGAATATTTGTTAGGTGGTAAGTTGTTTCTTGGATTTCTACCTTGCAAAGATCCATGTTGCTAATCCTTTCAGGGCATTTGATTTTCATTAGGCGTTGAAGGTAACTGATCTCAATCACAGACCTACTGAAGAGCAAGGATAGCCGGATGGCTGTTTCTTCCTATTTTAGGACGCCTCATCAGTACGCACCTATAACTCCATCCGGGATCAGAGCAAACCCGTCAGTTTACGAAGCAAGCCTGTTGATCATTTAGCTACTAGTATAACAGCTGCACGGCTAACATATTTACCTCCTAATTGAGATACAAAAATATTGTTTTTCTCTTGTGTTGCGGATATGGGCCATGTGAACGCAGTGGACCGATTGTCGAAAGATGTGAATGGACTTAACATGAATGATTAAATACTGAAGTTGTACTTTAATTGGTTGGTGAGACGGATTCTTTCTCCTTTTCCACAGGTGAACTTTCTCCTATTGTCTTTACACTAGGACAGCGTCCAACGGGTATGCCATGGATGGGCTATTGGATTCCGTCTCATTGACTCAATGTTCAACAGGTTCACCTCGTAACCTGAAGGTCTTTAGTAAGATCCCCCCTTATGGGGGTCATGCGGACCACCAAGTAGAATGAAATAACTGTCAAGTTCTTACTTCTTCTCTCAGTGATATCAAATCATGATCTATTCTGAATCTCTCAACCCCTTACACTCGAAAATTAGTACATCTTGAAGCAGAACATAAACCGCAGATCAAAAAGGAATGCTGATTGGCTAATTCAAAAGAGATTTAAGCATTGAATTCCATTTAGAAATTAAAGGAAGTAATATATATATATATATATATATATATATATATATATATATAAATCAATAGACAATAAGCGATGAATACAGATCAGGTCATGGCCAAAAGCGTACATTGAAATCAATCAAGTCCCTTTCTCCCCTCGCCAAAGTGAACCCTTAACATCTAAAACAACTAAAGTAAAAAAATTGCAATAATCTATTTATTAGCAATAACACGACAAGAAGGCTTTGAAAAGCGTTTTTCGCCAATGTTGTGCCAAAAACTCATACATATACTTATGACAAGTAAACTTTGCAAACCAAAACTTACATCTGTCACAGTTCGCATACCAACAACATCTGAATATGTCCAAGAGGATATATCTAAGATAATAAATTTCAATTGTTCAGTAATATTGGGTTGAACCTTGGGAAAAAAAAGATGGTAAAAAAATAAAGAATTCCATACGATGATTCGCTTTTATAAATTTGAACAAAGAAAGAAAAAACATTGGCGCAGAATAATCTGGATCCATTTTATTTCATCGGTTCTCATCAACTGCGTACAACCTGAATTTTTTTTTAATAAAATAAAAATAAAAGTGTACAACTTTAAAAAACCTTTGTCCATTAGCAAGCATATTCTCAGAGAGTCATACTAATAGGTGAGGGATACTTGTCAATCTTTGACTGTACTAGTGAGCAGGTTGTCCGGGATAGAGAGACTAATAACGCTGCGTGGTACCTCCAACTGTGTATACCAATTCACATGTATCTGCGGGAGCAGTTACATTGGAAGAACAGAGAGGAGGGCCGACGTCAGATTCTGCGAACATGTACGGAGGAGCCTCCGGTTAAAGTGATCGAATTGTTTAAGCTCTTCAATCACCAAACACCTGATTGACACAGGACACCGAGTAGATGTGCCGGAATCATTCAAAATAATTAACAGACAAAGTACCTCAAGTCTTCTCAGGTTTGATGAAGCTATAGCAATAAAACGAATAAAGGCTGACTCATGTGTCCAAAAAGAATCTGTTGTTGGATTTCAATTAACCTGGTTACTCAAATCTTAGTAACTCTTTGTTCTCTAATTTTGTTAACTTATCTTTTCACTCCCCCCCTCCACTTTATTGTTCGCTTGACTCTCTTGATCTTCTGAGTTCTGCTCACTGTATGACATCATCAACTTGTCATCTGACTTCATGTGCACCGAAATTGTAAAATTTTGCTATTCTCTTATCTAATTACGTAACTATTTCTAATTGTCTTTTGTTACCCCCCCTAACAACACAACTGTTAATTAATTTTTTTCAAGAAACTTCTCTCTAACAATATATATATATGTCGTAACACTTTAGACACCCTGTAAATCACAACGCCTTATTTTACTATATGAAGCTCTGACAAAGGTTTGCTAAAATTGTACACTTTTTATTTTTATTTTATTAAAAAATTCAGGTTGTATGCAGTTGATGAGAACCAACGAAGTAAAATGGATCGAGATTATTCTACGCCAATGTTTCTACTTTCTTTGTTCGAAGAAAATAAAATCAGAAAAGGTAAGTAGATCCTCCTAAAACAATTGTAACGTTTCCTTGAATATCACCCTCGGAGAGTTAAAATGTTCTTCTGTACAGGTTTCTTCAGTAATGTTATGTAATGTCTCCAACTTCGCTCCCCTCTAATGGCTGTAGTAAAGGTATCTTTTGTGGTTTCGTCCTTTAATTTTTGAGTTTTGAACTAGAACTGTAACTTATCTTCAATTGACCTTAAAGGTTCCTTGCACTATATAATGGTTTGGACTCCCATCTGTTCCCCTTCTCCACTTCGTGTCGAGTAGGCTGTGTCTGAAATTTCTTGGGGTTGAGATAAAGTCTTTCTGGTATTTGGTGTGTTAGTCAGTTGAAATCGATGTCGCTGTGTGTTTATCCTTGTGTATGTACACATGTTACTTCCACTTACAAAGTTATTAAAGGTGCAGAAGCCTGTGAAGCGTTCTCCGTTATTACTCACCCTGATGAACTCGTCTCGACTCATGATGAATTTACTTCCTGTATTGCCTGCTGACAGTTCAGCTTGCACTCGCAGTGCTCATGGGGATTTTCATATCGGTATTTGGAATGTTATTCATTACTGTTTTTGGATGTATATAGAGATCTTCCTTCTTATCTTGTTCTCACTTGTTTGTAGAATTGGGTATCTGTAACCTTCCTTCCTTTTGAGTTAAATATTTGAGTTAAACTATACTGCAAGAGGGGGTTGATCCCGACTGCATAAGGGCTTAGGGTGTTGTTAGTGATATCATGATAGCCACTTACTGTTTCAGTGTACTCATGGTTTTCGTCTGGATAACTGGAATAGGTCACTGACTCTGCAGATGACGATTTGGATAGTCCACAGCCATTCCACGTGCTCTCACAGATTCCTACAATGTCCATGCTGTATCTTCTCATTTCTTTGACAATCTGGGCAGCGTTTCTGGTCTCTTACATTGTAAGAACATTTCACGTCCCCATTCTTACTTTTCCTTCTATCGAAAGAGAATACATTGGATGATTAGTTTTCCGAAAGCTTTCACTAGCCTGCATTATTCCGTTTCTTTGATCCAAGAGAAGAATAAGTTTGTTTCTTATGTTTTTTTTTGTGCTTTGAAATTAGTGCAGCGATTAGATTGATTTTCCGAGGTAGGATTTCTAGCTTAACATCTAATCTTCTCGCTCCTCTCCTGCCGAGGACTGGTTAGTAAACTAGCCGAGGTTTTAGCCGATAGTAGACCCATGAAAATTAGGGAGCGTTGGGTTTTATCAAGCTATCCACCTCACCCAATGCAAATAACGATATCGCTACCGAAGTTTTAATAAGCTTATAGTTCAACTTCCCAGTAGGAACACAGAGAATGAAACAATCTCATCATAAAATATGCACTGATAATTTACTTCAAGTAACCGGCGATGACATTCAAGACTTTCTTGCTAACTACTTTGAACCAAATTTGAGACTTGATCACACATTGATGAAGAACGAGAGACATATGTGTTCTTTTGAAAAACACCAAAGAAAAATCATAACAATACTGTATAGTTCCTCTTACTAATTCTGGATTCTTCAGGCGTACAACTCCAATGGGAATCGAACCCAGTACCTTGTGGTTATAAGGTGAATCAGTTGACCACTCAATAAATGAAGGCGAGTCAATGATCGAATAGCAGAATTCTTCGCCAACCATGCAGCACGCTGCCCGGGTTCGATTACCAACTGACTCACTCCTAAAACTTGGTCTAGTTTACTAGCTAATAGTAAGCCCGGAAAAGAGTTAAGGATGAGTGTGAAGTCTAGCGACCCCACTGCTATAGGAACTTCAGAACTCAAGCTTGAAGCCTCATTCTCTACTCGGATCTGAAAGTAAAGGAATGCAAAAGTGGTTCCTACGCGCCCATGAAATATCTGGCTAGAAGTTGGAAAATTCATGGAATCCAATATCCCATTTACACAGCATAACTAGTTAAGTATCCTGCTGATTATATGTAGAACATTATTCTTAATGAATAATTTGGTTCTCAGCAAACATAACATAATAATGCGTCATGACCATGACCTGTTGGGTCGATTGCACCCCAAATTACATAGTGGCAACTTTGATTAACATAGCAAAAAGTTTAGATTTTTGTAGAATTATATCTTCTCCATGTGATATTAGGATAACACGGAACTACTAGAAGTTATAGTGTCAATTTTCTATGACTTACACGTATTTATATTGGACACTAGTAACTAGTGTGATGTGTCTAGTCCTTTCTTTGTTTGGTGCAGACTGAATTCTATCAGTCAAGGTTTGCAATGTGGCCACCATGCCACTAGGTAGCTCGCCATCACGGTGCACATTGATTTGATGATATTAGATAGTTGGAGGCAATCGGCCACAGGAAGCCTTGAACCTAGGTTTCGTGCTAGTTGGCACCAACCAGTCAGTAAGGCGTATCTGCAACTGCCTTGAAGGAACTCATGTTCTTTCTGAGGAGATTTGAACCGCGTCACTCAGTGAGTGTTGCAGTCAGAGACGTTACCACTCGTATTCTCCACCTATCTCTGTGTAGTCTAACATTCTATTAAGAAAGTACACGTCCCGCGTTACACAAATGTAATACAATCTAATGGTGCTGCTAATTCAGTAGGTTTACATTGAAGCCAAATTCTTATTAACGTGTAGCTTCCATTCATTCATTCCGCAAAATTTACATTGCTAATTGACACTTAGTTATGTTTTCTTAGATAATCTTATCTTTATTTTGTTTAACTGATTTATTTTCTGACCTTTATATTATTATGAATAAAACAGCTTATTTCAAACACACACAAATGTCACTGGATTATTCAAATTTCAGTGTAGAAAAATAAATGAATAAATAACACATAGACACACATGCACACACTGCACAAGCAAATACAGTCCTTCATTTAATTCCTTTGCCTTCCTAGTGGAACAAGGTGGACTACAAGTTTCAGTTTCCATGCTGTTGTTTTTTTACGCAGGAGAGGGGAGGGGTCGCTAGGCTGACTACACCATATCTTCCTTTTTAACCCGAGTTAATACCAGCTAAGTAAGGTTTAGAAATGAGTCTGCCGAGGATTGAGCCATGGACTACGAGAGTGATTGATGAACATTCTACGGTCGAAGCACAGACGCATATGAAATGAAAGTCAGTATATATGAAGATTAAAATACAACTAAGTGATAACAAAAGACTTCTCACTATGGGCTATAAATTATACTTAAAGGCCTGTAACATTACTTGGTTTAGGAAGATAAGACCAGTGGGATATGACTTCAAACTACAGCATAACTACTGAAGGTTGATAGGATAAACCAATAAGGACTATTCAACGAAAATTCTATAGTCAGATCACCCATAAAACAGTTTATTACTGATCTTTAGTGTTTGTTTAAGTAAAATGAGTGGAGAAGGAAATATAGAGGACTGCTCTAAGCATAGATGAGAAGTTCATTGACTGATTGACTGGTTTCATCAAGGTAGAACTTTGCAGAGAATTCCACCAGTTCGAGTTGCCACACTCCATGTAGCACACAAAGCAAGAGAAGAGAGTAAAAAAAATTCAAAATAGAGGTAATAAACAGAGATATGAGCCAAAAACAATAGCAATGTGGAAGAACAATAGAGGTTTATTGAATATTATAAATCACACAAGGTGAATGCATCTGGGCTGTCATCGAGAACGATTTTGAGCCATTTCATCAATTGTCTCAAGCCTTCATTGGCTTTTCCCATTCCGAGGACCTCAACCAGGAAGTATATATCTCCCTACATGGCTTAAACTAACTGTTGTGGATTTCATTGACTGATGCTCTTTCCTAACGTTATCGATCCTATGTCAGCCAACATTGCCAGTCCAGGAAGGCAATGGATA